TGGTAAAATATAAATTATGTATGTTCACGCGGCGTGGAAAGGTGAACGTGTTGATCGTGTTGGTAAACCATGAATGGTTCAATTATTTACCAGGAAATAAACAAAAAAAATTAAAAATATGTAGCACATGGGCAGTGGCCCCGTGGATTTGATATGTCTGCGCTCGATTAATACAAATATTGTACGAAATGCAAGTTTAATACAAATAAAATCTAGGTTGTTTGTTTATTTCAAAATGATTAAATATTGAATGATTTAAATGTTGAATGATTCAGAGGTTCTGTATGAATTAGCTCTGAATGTGACATGTTGTTTGATAATGGCTCTGAATCATTAAGAATGTACTTCTGTGCTGAATCATTCAGAATGTACTTCTGTGCTGAATCATTCAACATTGTTTTGTTGAATCAGTCAACACTGTTTTGTTGAATCAGTCAATACTGAATCACTCAAATGTGAGAAACAAACAATTTAAATATTGAACGGTTCAACATTCAACGTAAAATAATTCTATTCAAAACCAAACAAATAACCCCATAGATATGTATATATATATCCAAAGACAAGAAAGTAAAGATAGATGTAATATATTTGTGATTTCCAACAACAGGAATTAACAAATCAATGCTGCATCACAAGTCACTCTCAGGCTGTGAAGCCAAAAAGAAAGTAAAAATAAATAAATTATTAAGAAAAATGGTATTCTCTCTCTCTCATCATTACAGCTTTGAACATCCTCTAGAAAAACAATATTTTTCATCTCTTCAAGTTTTTTTCCTCATCAAGATTTAGTTTTATTGATAATTCATTGACAAAGAAAACTTCGTTAAAAATCTCTCTAAATTTAAACGAAGGAAAAGAGTATATTCGACCTAATAACCATAACCAAAAATACAACTATAATAGCTAACCAGACAAAAAAAACAGCAGACTCAAAATAAAAAACCTGTTACAAACACAAAACAGATACTCCCACCTTACTAGACTAACCCACCAAAACTGTCAAATCGAACCAACTAATTCCAAACACAACAGGAATGCCACAATAAAACAGCTACCTAAAGGATTGAGTACAAAAACACCAGGAAACTAAGCATAGAAACATGGCAACAGATTGTAAAAGAACTATAAAACACCCTAAGACAACAAATCAGAATATCGTAGTATCACTTCCACCATGCTTTAAATAGTTCTTGTCTGAACATCCCTTGTTTAGCTAGCTGGTCAGCCATCCCATTTTGAGATCTGAGAACGTATTCAAATTTCACCTTTTCAATTGCATAAATCGTACCGTTTAATTCGTCAAAGATGTTCCACCAACACCATGGTATCAGCTCCGAATTTGAGATTCAATTCAGGACCACCTGAGAATCGGGCTACACGATAAGAATCACCTTACCCACCCAACGTGTTGCTTGGAAAATTTTTAGCCCTGTCTTGATTGCATATAGTTCAGCAAAATCCGAACCAACACGTGCGACAGGACCCCAAAAATGGCTCTGACACTCTCCCACAATCTGCTGCTGGGTACTTATAAGCCCCATCAACATTGAATTTCATGGCTCCAAATGGAGGAGGCGACCAAACTGATCCACTCGGCACGATGCTGCTAAACGAACAACAGCTCCATGGTGAGGACCACCAGCTTTTTTCACACAGCACTACCTTGTCGTTAATTGCTTTGATCCAAATCAATGTCAAGTGAAGAATGACCCCTAACATCACCATTGAAATGTGCAACACATTTCATCTTTCGTATTCACATAATCATGCGGGCAAATCGAGAAGAAGATGGAGAAAAGGAAAGCATCAAAGAAGGGCAAAGACAAGTTAGAGAAACATTGAAGCCAATGGATATGAAACATAAACAACTCCACCAAATATCTACCGTATTCACAGTATATGGTAAATGCCTGCTTGAATTGTTCAGATTCATATTCATTGTCTTCAAAGTTTTCTCCAACGTTTGCCTCTGCGCTCCTCTGATACTCTCCTTTTCCTTTTCATTCATGTTCTCGTCCTTCAAGTTTCCTTTCTCGGTTCATTTCTCTTCTTCTTTCAGCCTGCACTATTATGCATTCCATTTAGTCGTATTCGCATGAACTTCTTCTTGTCTGGTTTCAAATTTCATGGCATCTAGGGTTTTTATAAAGATGTTTCACACGGACTTTACTCGGTTTAGAAAAAAATATAAGAAGGTTGCAGGTGAAGTTCCGCGACGCGGTTCAATTATATGAATCTCTGGTTCTCAACTCACTCACACAGTGAAGACCTGTTTTTTTTTTTAAATATGTTTCAACTCATGTACTTGCTTTTCCCTATTATTATCGTTGTGAAATTATTTAATTAAGCTTGTTGTTAGTGGAATTTGCAACATCAAAAAAGTGCAAATATTACTTTGTTTTATTATTTCTATTTCACTTTATATTTATGATGAGGGGGGAAAGTTATGTTGGGGCAGTTTTTATTGGTTTGTTTTTTTCCTTATCTGGGTGAAAAAGTTATGGTCGATATTTGATAATTTCATGGGTAGGTAAAAGAGTACAGATGGGTTGAACATGATGGTAGTGACAGTCACAGATCTATTAATGGTAGGCACGTACATATATAGTGAAACATGAGCCCTATAGAAAGGGGTGATGATGATTATATGTAGGCGGATAGCTAGTAGCAGAATTTAATGATAAAGTTTGGGTGTCAACTTGATATTTTAAAAAAATAGAGGTTTAAATTAAAATTTTTAAATAATTTGAAGAGTTCAATTTACATCTTTTTCACCAAACTTGAAATTTTTTAAAAAATAGAGGTTTAAATTAAAATTATCAAATAATTTAAGGAGTTCAATTTACATCTTTTCCAAACAAAAAAATTGGGGTCTAACTATTTTTTTGAAATTTTAAGAGGTTTAATCAGAATTTTTAAAATTTATGAGAGGGTTTAATTAAGAACATTAAAAAAATTAAAGTTTATTTTGAATTTCTAAATTTTATGAGGGATAAATTAAATTTTTTTAAAATTATAAGAATCTAAAATTATAATTATTTTAACTTTTTGAAGACGTGGCCTTCACATGTCTCTAGTGTTTTGCTCTGCTATAAGGACAAGTAGATCTAGTAATCAAGTAACAAATTTAGGTTTAGGGGGAGTATTTTTTCCCGACAAGCTTTGAGGTTTTAATGAGGCACTTGATAGGGACATTTGATAATAAAATAACATGTTCTTTAAGCAATAAAAAATAACAAATTTAATTTTGATCGATCATGTAAGTCTGACAATAGTTATTTTAAAGGATTCTTAATTATCTAGGGAACGTAGAGTTATGGAAACTTCGAGGAACTCTAAAAAATATAAATCTATAAAGGATACATAGTTTTAGAAAAAAACTATGAAGGCCTGAACATATATAAACGATCATGTTCATGACCATTAAATAAACATGCTCATAAAAATAAATAAACAAACATAAATAATTTTAAAAATAAATAAATAAACACAAACACAATGCTAAAAATTTAAATGAACACGAAATGAATATCTTTAAAAATAAATAAATAAGCACGAACATAATTTTATTCGTTCTAAAAACATGTTAAGGTTGTAAGAGAGAAGAAATACGTTAGGAACAACAACAGTGTTAAATAAAGAAGGCCAATCAGAGGGAAGAAAATGGAGGAAATAAGTGAGGAACAAAAACGAAAGGGCAAACCCCGAGTTTTGAAGCCATTAAATAAAGTGTGGAAAATTCAAAGGCTTCAACTTGACCTCTAACTCCTCCATTTTTGTCCCTCCCTCATTTCTTTCATTTGCACTCTGATAAACAACGGCTGCATTCTTCATCGTCTTTTGTAGGGCTATCGATTCTTGATACGCAGGATGTCGTTATTTATGGGGAGGAAAATGGACTGTGCAATGTGCGTACGCGTAAAATAAGACGTTTTCGAGCGAGAGGAAAATTACTCTGAAAAATACATGAAATTACACAGCAACTCGGCACAGTATACACATTGTGCACATGGGTGGACCATTGCAGGAACCGGCAGGAGATTTGATCCCATTTAATTAGTATTTTTTAATATTAAAAAAATTAAAATTTTGGAAAATAAATAAGTTCTACTGGACCCCTTAATTGAAAAACAATAGGTACTATTTATGTGATCTTTAATTTTATATATTGTTAGACCTCTCTATTTTATTCTGACCTCTTTTTAATAAATTTTTAATTTCAATCATGTCGGAACGGGCTTTAAGCTTTTTGGCAAGTTCAAATGGGATTAAACCAACTTAGATTGAAAAGATCGGGGTTTGAGAAAGAAATGATTTTAGAGTCTCATCGACCTTTGGGTTAGGTAGGTCGAATACCTAAAAATATCTTTTAAAATAATTTTAAGAAAAATCAAGTTAAAAGAAAAACCCAGCATGCGTTTAAACAAAAATTCATTTTGAAAAAGAGTTCGGGTGTCGATGACGCGTGAGGAATGATGAGCACCCCATAACACCCGAAATTGGTACCTATTCGATTATGCATCATCTTTATACTTGAAAACTGTAAATTCGAGTTATATTTAAGTTATGATCCACTTAAAAGGAATTCTTTTATACAAACAATCCTCGGAAACGTACTTCCCTTATATCTGGGAGATTTTTCTATAGATCACCCATATAAAAGAAAATACTAAATAAATAGATTACCCATATGACAATGTTTATTTCGAAAGATGTGGCTAATTTATGCTTGGATTTCAATGATTTGATATAATTTGATTGTTAGTTTTTGTCTCTTCGTTGTTTTGGTCGATTCCTTTTTATATTGTCTCAAGATAAGTTTTCATTTTATTTTTCCACGACTGTGATCATTTCAAGTTATCCAGTTGTGATTCTTTTTTATAAATGAGTTGTAATAGTTCAAATGATACGAATAGGCTCGTTGAACCCGCATTTGTTTGCCCTCGATATTGCGAAGCTTGCAAATTGATATGTGGTTTTTGAATAGAATTTACTTTATTTTATGCTGAAACTGAAGTTATGTGAGAGCCTTATGGTGTTTAGGAGCTCTCATTTATAAGAGATTTTCTGGCATATAGAGGTTGATGGTTTGTCTCAGTGATGTTATATTTAATCGAATGTGCTGCATTCTAGTCGTAGTTATCTAATGAAGTGGTTTCTAGTCCAACTAGCCTTTTTGATTGGCAATTGTGTTTCAATCCCCCCTGAAATTTAGAAGCCTATAATGACCTGGAATGTGTTGTATTCTACTTTTCTTTTGGCTCTGACAGGACAAGGGTCGGCCATTGCCAAAATTTGGTGAATGGGATGTCAATGATCCTGCATCAGCCGAGAGATTTACCGTGATCTTTAACAAGGCAAGGGACGAGAAGAAAACCGAAGAAAAAGTCGAACCACCTTCAGGAGGTGATAAAAATGGCAAGCCTAGAGCAGAAACCACCAAAACCCAACCTGTAAGTAACCTCTGTTGACTGAACTTCTTCACATTGTAATGCATATACTAGGCAGTGGTTGTAACTCATAATTGTTATAAACTGTCGTGGTTCTCGACATCTATCCTGATTCTGTAGTAAAAACAGAAAGAGATGAAAGACATAATTTTCATTCAAATAAAAACATGCTTAAATACATCACAAATAACTAATAAGCTGAAACTTCTACCCATGTTTCCATGTACTGCCACTAACATAAAACATTGCAACTACTTAGCTAAAAAACAGCAACTAAAGTTGATTAAGTAAAATGCATAACAAACTCCTATAAACTAGGATAAGTTGCAGCCACTAGAGACATTTCCAACACTCCTCATTGAATTAGTAGCTGCAAACTCCTAAAGCTTTTCTCAATGATTCAGACATGCTCCTTGGAAGAGCCTTAGTAAATATATCAGCCAGCTGGTCATTTGTGCTGCAGTAGAGCAAAGAAGCTTCACCATTCTTCTGGACTTCTCTAAGAAAATAAAGTTTAATGTTGAAGTGTTTGGTCTTTCCATGAAAGACTGGATTATTGGAGATTGCAATGGCAGCTTGGTTATCCACAAACACTTCTGTGCTCCTCATTTGCTCCAAGCATAAATCATTCAAAATCTTCCTTAACCATAAGGCTTAATTTACAGCTGTTGTAGCAGCTATAAACTCCGCTTCAGCAGTAGATTGAGCCATTATATCTTGCTTCTTTGAACTCCAAGTGAAAATTCCTGAACCAATCGTGAAACAATATACTGAAGTGCTTTTCATGTCATCTAAGATCTCCCCAATCACTATCAGAGAATCCATGAAAATTGAATTCTTGACCATGTTTGAACATGACACCATAGTCAGTAGTTCCTTTGACATATCTCAGCAGTCGTTTAGCAGCAATAAAATGTTCTTCACTAGCAGCTTGGGAGAATCCGACGAGGACACTTACAGCATGCAAAATGTCAGGTCTTGTTGTTGTGAGATACATTAGACAACCTATAAGACTCGATAGACAACTTCTTCAACTTTTTTGCACCATCTCTTTGCAAAGTCTCTCTTTTTGATCATTGGAGTACTTACTGACTTGCAATTCTCCATGTGAAACTTCTTCAAGATCTCTTTAGCATACTTTCTTTGACAATAAGACTCCTTGATGATCTTGTCTTACCTCCATCCCAAGAAAATATGCCATGACCCCAAAGTCTGTCATTTCAAATACTTTCATCATTTCTTCCTTAAAGTTTCGAACCAACACATCATTATTTCCAGTCACTAAGATATCATCTACATAAACGGAAACGATTAAAATATCAACAGTTGAATGCTTGACATATAATGTTGGCTCACTTGGACTTTTTTCGAAACCAATACTAAGGAGATGCTCATTGATTCTAGCGTACCATGCCCGTGGAGCATGCTTTAAGCCGTACAAGGCCTTTTTAAGCAAGTACACCTTATTCTCCTCTCCATCCAACACAAAACCTTCAGGTTGTTCAACGTAAATTTCCTCCTGCAAATAGCCATTAAGAAAGGTAGATTTCACATCTAGTTGAAATACTTCCATCCCTTTTGTGCAACCAAGCAAGAAGCAATATGACTATCAAGTCGAGCAAAGGAGCAAAAGTCTCTGAAAAATACCCCAAACACTTGAGCATCCTTTCACTACAAGTATGGCTTTGTGTTTGTTAATAGAACCATCTGCATTTAACTTGGTTCTAAACACCCACTCCCTTCAATCATACAGAGCTCCTCTTGCATTGTTGATATCCATCTTGGATCATCTTTAGCTATATAAAAATCTGTCGGTTCTAAAACACCAATATTACACCTTTCATAGATGTCAGAAAGCAATTTAGTTCCCCTGACTGGAGGATCATCAATATTCTCATCCTCAAATGATTCAATATTAAGAACTAGATTCACTTCTTCATCTTCCCAATTCCACTGTTGATCTTCAACAAAATGAACATCTCGACTTATTAGATATTACCAGTTTCGGGCTGGTAGACTCTATAAGCCTTTGAAGTTGTGCTATAACCAATAAAATTCCAGAATTTGCCTTTTATCCAATTTATCTCGTTTCACACGAGGTACATAAGTGAAACAAACACAACCAAAAACTTTAAGATTTTGGATAAAAGGTTTATAACCATACCATGATTCAAATGGAGTTTTCCCTTGCACTGCCTTCGTGGGAAGCCTATTCAACAAGAACACAGCTGTATTCGCAGCTTCTGCCCAAAACTTCTTCGACAACCCTTTCTCATGTAGCATACACCGTACCATCTTCATTACAGTTATGTTCTTCCTCTCACTCACTCCATTTTGCTGCGGAGTATACACAGCAGTGAGTTGGTGCTCAATTACAGTATCTTCGCAGAACATATTGAACTGTTATGAGGTGTATTCCTTTCCAATATCAGATCTTATGACCTGAATTTTGCAGCCACTTTGGTTCTCAACCCAAGCTTTAAATTTCCAAAAAAACTCCTACCACTTCAGACTTGAATTTCAAGAAATAAATCCAACACATTCTACTAAAATCATCAATAAAGAGAATATAATATTTACTTCCCTTTAAAGATAATTCAGGTATAGCCCCTCTAATATCCGTATGTATTAGTTGTAGCTTTGTTCTAGCCCCTCGTTGCATTCGAAAATGGGAGCCTAGTTGCTTGCCAAATCTGCATGCTTTACAACTTATTAAGTGATCATCCAGAGGAGGAATTCCTCTTGCAAGATTCTTTCTCCTCATATACAATAGAGCAGCGTGGTTGAAATGTCCCATCCTCTTGTGCCAAAGATCATTTGTAGTAACAGAACTCATCATAGAAGCTTGCTTGTCTCCATCATATTAAAGAGTAGATTTTTCCCTTCATATTAACCTTGAACATGTCAGACCACTTGAATCTTTTATCGAAACAATCATGTATTCAAACATAACTTTGTAGCCTTTTTCAAGCACTGACCCACACTTAACAGGTTCTGATAATTTCAGGAACAAAAGAACATCTTGAATTAACTTAGTACCAAGACTACTTTCAATGGCAAATAGTACCTTTACCTTTGACAGCATGAAATCTCCATTTCTAATTTTGACTTCTGACAACCGCCTTATTAAGCTCTTTGAAAAGCTCAATATCTGTGTCATATGATTGGTGCAGCCCGCTATCAATAAGCCAACTATCATTACAATGCTAGTTGCAAAACAAGAAGCAACAAATAGTTGATCCTCCTTTTACTCGACAACCTGAGCCTCACTTTGCTGATATTGCTCTTTGGACTTGCATATCTTTGCAATGTGTCCCAAGAGTTTGCACTTGTTGCATCTAACATCTGGCCTCCTCCAACATTTGTGAGGTGGGTGACCCTTCTTTCCACAATGTTGACATGATGGATAGTCTTGCTTATCACTTCCTTCTCCCTTGTTGTAAGCTTGATCGATTGCACTCTTCTTTCCATTTCTCTTCTTCCCCTTATTATTGTGGTTGATGTGCAACTTTGCAGCAAGAGCTCCTTCAACGGTGCCTTCAAGTCTCATCAGCCTTCTTTGCTTTGAGCTTGCAAAGCATTTAATAATTCTGCCAACGTAATGTTTGACACATCTTACAGTTTTCCAACGAAGAATCATGGATTCAAATCTTTCTGGAATAGTAACCAAATCTTTTGAACAATCCTAGAATCGAAAATCTTTGCCAAGCAATCTTACTTTTACAATGCTCAGAAGTCTAATGGAGTATTCTTTGATAGTCTCCGATTCCTTCATTCTTTGCATTTCATATTCCCTGATCAAATTCAGCACACGCATCCCTTTGATCTTCTCATTGCCTTCGTACTCCGTCTTGAGAAAATCCCAAATTTCCTTGGTTGATTTCAAGGTCATAATTCTGGTAAAAACTGTTGCAGAAACACGTTGAACAAGCAGGACTTAGCCTTTGATTTTCTTTGCCTCTTCTCCTTGTGGTTCTTTATTTGAGCAACCGTTGGATTTGTTGAAAGAGGAGTAATTTCATAATCCTCCTCAACGCTTCCCAAAGGTCATTTGCTTCCAAATAGGACTCCATTCTAATTGCCCAAACTTGGTAGTTCACCTTCAAACACTGGAGGTGCTACAGCTGAAAAGAAATTTCAGATTGCATTTTGTGAAGTTTGGTTTGATGGTAGTCTCTCAATTCTCACACAGGTCCCTCAAGAAGATTCACTCTGGTACCAATCTGTAGTAAAAACAGAAAGAGATGAAAGACATAATTTCATTAAAATAAAAACCTGCTTAAATACATCACAATAACTATAAGCTGAAACTTCTACTCATGTTTCCATGTACTGCCACTAACATAAAATATGGCAACTACTAGCTAAAAAACAGCAACTAAACTTGATTAAATAAAATGCATAACAACTCCTAAAACTAGGATAAGTTGCAGCCACTAGAGACATTTCCAACAGATTCGATGCTGTTTTGTTTTCCAGAAAAAATGGCTTTGCTGCATGGCAGCTCCGCCGGCGGAATCTTAAAATATCCCTGCCTGTAATCAAAACCCCACCATCTCAAACATATAGACCGTATAGGGCTGTAATAAGCCCTTCTGGAATTTTTTTATTTACTTTTTTTAATATTGATTTTGATGGGATGAAGAGAGAGCAAAGAAGACAAAGAAACACTTGTTTGTATGTATGTTATATTACTTATTGAATTTTCCATTAAAACAACTATGTTTCAGAAAAATATCGAAGAGGACGCCACAAGAAAATTCCCGAAGCAATTATGACTGTAAACGCCATAATTCCTACAGATAATTTGATAAAATCATGTGATATTATTATCCACCCTAAGGTGGCATATCAAGTTACACCAGATTGGTCGTCCGCCAGACCCGCATCTAATTCAATCCGATGCAAGAAAGCTGTGCCATCACATAAGATAATTGAAATACCACAAGGCCTCTCATTCTAGTGTCGTTGATTAGCCTTTTCCTGTCGTTGATCAGTGGTATGTAAAAGATCTAATCATCATTTACTTTAACGCCATTTAGGGAGTTACATATACCATTCTGGTCTGCAAGCTTCTGGAACTCGGATTCGATTTTCTTTGCGATCTTGGCATCTTCTGGATCCAGCTCAGGAAAATCTACGTGAACCGATCCCTGTTTGATTGGCCTACCAGTCTCTATAAGTGCAGCTTGTTGCTTTATGTAATCATAAAGCTGTCGATGATAGGTGTGGTCCAATGAGAAGCAATTATCTACAGTTCCATTGCTGCTGCTGTTTCGTGATGACCCTGAACCTTCCTTGCGACAGAAATGTGGAAGGGTATACACTATGAAAGGAAACTTTAGTTGGATGGAGGAAAGTACGGTGATTTCAAACGAATTTTAGTATATTTGAAATGTCTAACTATCGAATATGGTTGACGTCAAACAAAAGAGACCAGCTGATTTCCGATTCAAATTGATTATTTTAACAAGAGTGCAAGGAAAGAGCATACGAAAACCCGAAACTTAGCGCAGTTAATTCATACAACCACCAATAAGAGGTGGTATGTGCATCCAAAAGAACAAGAGAGTATTGCTGCTATTCAAAAAACGAAAACATGATTTTAAGAGAGTTTTATGAGCATGCACGGATGAGTGTTTTCTTACTTTGAGTAACTCATCCCGTCCACAACCTTGAAGCACCTGAATTTTCCTCTTCGTCCTTTCTTGCAAGAGAGGTTTAACAGCCTGCCATTTGCAGAAAAGCATTAGAAATACATGTTCATACGAGTTAGCTACGAGAGAGAACAACGGAATTGTCGCACAAATAAAAACCTTCCAACATGCTGAAAATATGTATGGCGCATTGACAATATAATATGTCTCTGTTTTCTCCGGATAATTCAAGTCATCAATTGTTGATATAGTAGTCAGTAGCTGCATCAGTAAGCAGCCAATGAGACCAACCACCATTAGAAAAAAATAGATATATAACAACTGGATACTAATCGACTGGAAAAGGGTTTTAAGTTCTCAGGAGCAAAGTTTAGGCTTTATTTAAACAGGAATAGATAAATCACTTCACAACAGTTGAACTACTACACTGAAATCAGGCGAAGAGTGTTATTGGTTAAGGAGACACCTTTATTTGGTTCAATGCCGAAAGCTTCAAGCCAGTCATATCCAAAACCTTCAGACACGTTCCAATATGTCGTCCATACTTTCTCTGGGCCGCAGGCTGTTATAGAAGCAACATGTTAGACCATATAAAAAGTAAGTACACATGCAGAGTGAGGAATATCTGAGTCTACCCACCAGTATTACGCGATCTCTATATTTCATTTTGAATGTGTGACTGTACATAGTAATTCACCTAGAACACAGAAGAATTACAGATTTAAGTAAGGAAATACTCCATACACTGCAACTGAAGTACATAAATGCATCTTAGAGTGCTAAAAGACCATGTCATTCGTCACGAATATTCAGGAAAATGAAGAATCAAAGGAACTAGCCAAAAAATGCTTTCCATCAAGCACAAACTATTAATGGTACAAATCCGTAAGAAGGAAAACAAGTGTGGAATCATAGTATGTCTGCGAATTTCTAAGCACGTTTCAAAAACGAATATAACTTCCATCGTCCTAAAAGTTACACCAAAGTAAAGTTTTAAAGAATCATATTGCTCATTAAAAGCTCAATGGCAAGCTTCGGATGACATCTTTCAAAACAGCTTTAATAGTAAGCTCAATTAAAAGCTTATATTGCCAGGCTGTACAGTCTGAATGCGAGTTTAAAGTTAGAACAAGTTCCGATCTCCTTACGGATGCTTTGTCATATGTGCTGAGCCCAACACCGAGAGCAATGACAGGAAGACCTGGAATATCAAAAGCATGAGTTGATCATCATGGATCTACTTTCGAGTGTAACATATTGTTGCCAAACAAATGTGAGCACTGAATCTACTGTCAGGGAACTCAAACTCGATAATCCTACAAGTAAATACCTCTTTTGAGTAACCCGACAATCCTACAAGCTGAGAATCTCGCACTGCTCTATATAAGTCAGCTGGAATAATTGGTTTCTATACAATAAAAAAGTAATGAATTATCTCGAGCATCACCAATTTCCAAAATAAATCAGCTGTTCAGCAGTATAGTTTTTGCAATATCATAAACTGATAAATAATAGTAATCGATTAGATTATAATCAGAAAACTCACTGATAATATAGTGTCAATTTCATTCTGTATTCTCCATTGTAAGCAATCAGTTAACTGGAATACACAAAATTTAGGAGTTCATATACGGGAATTGGGAAATGAGGACAAAAATGAAGAGATCTTTCGTACACAACATTTTATTATTGCTTAAGGGCACCCGAGGAACTCACCATTTTATAGGCTTTCTGAACATCCCAATCTCTTGCTTTCAGAAACCTCTCTAGATTTTCAGCTAGATGCCCATGGTGCATGTTCTGCAGACCAAGGAATTTAACTTGAAACTTAACTTCGGCCAACCATAGTATAAAACACGAATTTAAATTGCGTATTCATCCATTTGATCCGCACAATTCCACAGAAACAGATTGATATAAGCAAAATTTCTTCGTAACACCTCAAATATATATAAGAAAAGGGTTACTGCGAAGGAAAATCTTATAACCGGCATTTTATTTATCTATACCGACACAGAGCTCTAGATTCTTTGTGGCACTCGTCGAATGAGCTTACAATTCGATAATACCATCTCACCATTGAATGATAACCAACTACCAAGCTTTTCTAATAAAAATAGATTAAAATTAGCAACTGGAACTAAGCTTCTTCCAATTTATACAACTATGATGCTCGGCCTTAGATGGGAGTTCCGAGTAAGGGTACATCAACCATAGAATAGTAAACAGTGAGAACAAACAAATCTCTAAATGGAATCAGCTAGAAATTCACAGAACAGAAAAAACAGTTGACAGAGATAGATCAAACCAGCAAAAAACATAAAACTCTTAACCATGAAATTGCAAAAAAAAAAGGCAATCGGATCAAATCCACAGCTGAAATGAGCTTTAAAAACTAAGCAAATTATTACTGAAAATACATATTAGCTCATAATACATATTAGCTCATATATTATCTGCAGCCCCTTATCAGCATCCAAATATATAAAAAGAAATCCAAAAAATCTAACCTGAAATGTGCCCTTCATTTTCTCGTCAACTGTTAAGTCAAATTTTCCAGAAGAAATTAGCAAACAAAAAATATATTTTAGTGATTTGCAGATCAGAAAGAAAAAACCCCAGAAAGATAAGATGAAAAAAATCATCTCTTACACCTAAATCTCACCATTTTCCATCAAAGACACAAATTTCTTGATAGCTTCTTCATGAACATTGCTCATGTCTTCCTCAAAAATTAACAAAAACAAAATGTAAAAGAACAAATTTTGATAACAAAAAACTAAAGCTTTAACTGAACTCGAGTTCTGCTTTTATCTCTCCTCCTTGCTCTCTTTACAACTTAAATTGGAGATTTAAGCTTAAGGATCACCGAAAGAGAGCAACAAATAAAAAGGAAATAACTTTTTCAAACAGAAAAAACAATATTAATAATAAAATTGAAACTAATGAAATCTGAAAATTTTCTTATCAGCTGCCTTAGAGCAAGTGTTTAAAAAGCAGGCATAACTTGGGTTAAAATTAGAAAGAATATGAAATAATTAGAAAAGAAATAAAAATAGGTGTTTTATCGAAATATTACCCATAGACCTAATAGTTAAATGCTAGGCAACTATCTCTTAATATTATTGATTTTGTACCCTTTATTTCACGGTGGCAATAAAGAGCAGATCATCAGTCGCGCCTTCATAGGGTGATTCTGTTCGAATTGGTGTCATGTAAGGAAAGGTGCTGATGGCGATCCGTGCCTTCGTTGAACCTCTGACACGCACGGAATGAGCGGATCATGATCTGTGCCTTCTATTATGCACGTTGAATTATTGGTACTCCATTATTACCCGAACCTGAAAACTCAACTTTTAAACACGCTCTCCTATAAATAACAACCCCTCTAAATGTAAACATCACCATATTAAAATACTTGCTTATTCTCACTTCTATCAATTTCGTTAAGTAGATTTATTATTGTTTTTATAAGGTAAAACTATTTTTATTATATATATTTATTTATATTTAATTATTTGAATAAATTTTTTTATACTAATTATTTTTGTATTATTTTACGGTTGTAAAATTGGAAAGCAGGATTATGCCACGAGACATTTTGTCGATACATAACAATATGAAATTGTGTTATTTAAATTATTATGAATTTTTTTGGATTAGTTTATTTTTAATTCATATAATATTTATTTAATTAGGCGTATTTCAGCTATTGTTTTTGCATATATAAGACTTAATCTTTCAAACTCTCAAAATGACGCGTATTTCAGCTATTGTTTACTATGATGGAGAATTTGGGAAGATGAAATTGGCGTCGTCTTCGCATCAAATCATTTTTTTTTAGAATATCCTTCAAGAGAAACATCACTCTTGAGGAACTGATCACTAAAATTTCAAGGAATGTTCATATGGAAGTACTAGATTGTCCTCACTTCAATACAAATTTTCAACCACAACATTTTTGTTAACTTATACAACGTTTAAACTCTCCAACGATGACTATGTTGTTAATGGTTGATTCTCAGAATCAATATTCAGACGTCGATACACAAATATGCGACATTGTTGAAGTGTCTACGGTCCAGGTATGTCATTACGCTCTCATTATGGGCTGGCTTAACAAGCTGATCAAGTTGACAACCCAACTCAAGTAATGTGTAATGATTTTAACTCGTTAATGGGGAATCCACATCATGGTGTCATCCCATCAAGTTCAATATGTAGACATTTATCAGCAACTTGTTACGATCTGTACCGAGGTGGCTCCACAAACAATTTATATGGCAATATCGCTTCCAATTCAAGGGGAAGACATTCATCTGCCAATTTATTTGACTTGCATATGGAGATACCCTCGACACAACATCTGTGCAGTACTTATTTTACACGATGCTTTCAAGTTCTAAGGGATGCATTTAACTGCGAGCTTCTTCGACTTCAATATCGAGATTCCTTTAAGTTCAAGGGGAAGACATTCAACTATCAACTTGTTCGACCTAAATGTCGGCATCATGAAAGAACCCTCATCTCCACCAGAAGAACCTCTTCTTGAGTCAGGTGTGGATGGTGCTGAGACTAGACTATTCGTTCAGCCAGAATTACCACAGTTCAACAGGGACTCCAATGATGATGATGTAGATGAAGTTCCCACAAATATGGTACACACCGAACCTCCAACACACATGTATGAAGGTGACTATGGTACAATGTACGGGACAGAATTTGCAGATATGTTGGTGACTACAGATTTAACATATCAGTCAATGATGGTGAGCTATATAAAGGAATGGAGTTTCCATCCGAAGAAGAAACGATGAAAAATTAAGAATTACAACATTCGTAATTTGTTCAGTCCAGAGTCGACCGTTCCACCACTGAAAAGTATATCTGCCACTTTGTCCAACGTGATAACGGATATTACTGGATGTGTAACATTCTCAATACCGAGCTAGTAATTAAAGTGTAAGATTTTAAAATTCAATGACCAGATTTAATAAATTGAAAAGTGAAGGAATTAATTGAAAGATGTTGGTGAAGGATGAATTAATAAATGAAGGAAGAGTCCAAGGGCAAATGGGTCATTAAACAAGGAAAATGATTAAATATTATTTATGGATATTTATAACCCACGTGGGGCATAGGTAGGAAACAAATGTTTCCAGATTTCTATCATTTCTTCTTCATCTTCTTCTTCCTCTCCCAAACGTGAAGCACCCAAGCTCAATGTGAGTTGATTTTCTTTTGGTTAATCTTTCAAATTAAAGCATAGTTTTGATTCATGAAGCTTTAGGAAACATGATGGAAGAAAAAATGGACTTCAAAACTCAAAGAGTTTTAAGATGAAGGATTAAAGATAAGAAGTGGATAAGTGAAATTTTGAATAAGATGTATAAGTGAATTTAGAAGTTGAATTTGACTTGTCATACGTGAATAAAAGTATAAGTGTTAGAATTAAGTTTGGATAACATGAAAAATTTAGTATGATTCTTAGCTTTAAGAATTTGAATGAAGTATGGGAGATAAAAAGGTGTAAGAATGATAGAAGTTAGTTAGAATGGTTATAGTTGAGTTTGGTAGTATGAAAGGAGTTTTGTATGAGAAAATTCAGTGAAGAGTTGATGAATTTTCAAGTGAAAAAGCTTGTTTTGGGCAGAGTGTATCAGTACCCTATGTATGTGTACCGATACCCCTTGAACGAAAAAATACATAATAATAAGGGTATCGATACCCCCAAAGGAAAATTTGAAGTTTGGTTCATTAAATTAGTTTAAGTTATTATAATCAAATTACAAGGGTTAGGCTTCTGTTAACCATCTTGAAAACTATGTTTATGTAGATATAAACGAATCATGTTCCGGAACAATCGAAGAATTAGGATTGAATCAACTCAAGCAAGGCCAAGGTGAGTGTATAATATAGGGATAATCTAATAGATATAAGACTTGCGATGAGTCTATTTCCTAGGTCAATTTCATAATATAATGGTTATAAACATGCATACATTATAGTTTTATTAAATATGCATAAGTCATATATGATTACATATGATTTGATACATATTATATGACTCATGTTAAATGATATATGAATAGATTCAAATGCACATGTGATATGATAAGTGATATGAGCTATGTGATCACAAGAGAAATGACATGAGTACATGAACATATTAACATAAGATAATACCCATGGTATACGATATGAAAGCTATAGGTATAGTTGGCATGTCAAGAGTCGAGGGTTCATAGGTTCTTCGGGACAACTCATAGGTCCTTCGACACAGGTCCTTCAGGACAAAATTTCATATGCCACTCAGTGGGACTTATACGAGCTGTGGTGACAACAATAGTCTACACCTCAATGTACTTGAATACCTTGAGTCAGTAATACATGGTCTTATAAATGTCATCAAAGGTAATTGCATTATTATTGTTATATGTTACCATATTATTATCGTTTACATTGAATTACATATGACATGATTGAATGGATATATTGCATGTTCTTATTCATAAGAAATGCATTATCATTATAAGTTTATGTCTCACTAAGTCTATGACTTAGCGTGTAAGTGATTTACACGTAGGTACAGAAAAGCAAGAAGATCAATCTTAAGAGTAGCAACGCAACATACCATCATTTGAAGATCAGATCAGAAGAACCTTATACAATATGTCTGTTTATGTAATATATGTGTTGGCATGTTAATAGATTCGTTTAGTATGTATGCTCTAATCGACTTTTGTAATTTTTTAAACATATTTATGTAAATGGTAAATGTATAGCAATGAAAAATTAAATTTTAACAAATTATATATGTTTTACGGAAGTACTGTAGCAGCATTATAGCAGGGTATCGGTACCTGTAGTAGGGGTATCGATACCCCTGTAGCATTCTGGAAAATTTTAGCAGTTTGGTATTGTTCTCGGTACTGTTCATGGTATTGTTCATACCGTATTTTACTGTTCATAAAATGTTTTTTGCCTTAAGTTTTTATAATGAAACATAATTTAATAGTATGTTATTATATTTTCTTAATATAAGTTCAAATGTTTTATTATTTTGTAAGAATATTGTTTCAAAAAGTCAATGTGACATCTCGGACTCGTATCCGGGTCGGGTGCGGGTTGAGGTGTTACAGGATGGTTCGTGTATCAAAGAGGAATGGGAAAAGTATATGAACTAACAGTATATAATAATCCCCACACATATTGTCCTGGAGGGATCAACCAGGATCATCCCAACTTGGACTTCGACATTATCTGTCAAGCTATGTCCATGGTCAAAGCAAGCTCTCATATAGCTATTGCGGTGCTGATTTTAGCTATACAGTCGCAATATGAATACACTATCTCATATAAGAAAGAATGAAAGGCAAAGAAGAATGTCATTAAAAAACTTTACGGCGAGTGGGAAACATCTTATAACAAATTACTAAGTTGGTTTAGGGTAGTGTGCAGATATAATCCTAAGATAATTGTCGACTTCGAAACTTGACATGCATACCATATGATCGAGTGCTTCGCAGTCGATGTCAATTCTACCGACTTTTTTGGACTTACCCACAGTGCATTAATGCTGTGAAATACTACAAGCACGTGGTCTAAATTGATGGACATTCTTGTATGGAAAATACAAGCAAGTTTTACTATTGGCAGTTATCAAAGATGGTAATCGCAATATGCTACCAGTTGTTTTTGCCCTTGTTATATGAGAAGATATATTCTTGGACTTTTTTCCTCAGAAACTTATGCTTAATGTTGTCACTAGGGAAAAATCTGTGTCATTTCAAATTGCGAAACTCAGATCAAAGCAGTAATAGATTCTTTGGGT